AACGCTTGTATGTATAGACACCCCATTAACGGTTTTATCTCGTTAAACCGTTTTGATTTAAAACGTTTTGAAATCGTGTTTTAACCGATTTGAAAACGGTTTAAATACTGTGTAAACATCTCAAACCGTTTTACGAGAGTGCCAGCACTGCTTGCCCAAAAGAAGTATAAACACAGGATAAAACGTTTTAGGTTCGAAAACGTTTTAGCGGTTCAAACGGTTTAACGGAAGCATAAACTTGGTAACGTGGTAGAAGTGAAACTTCTTAAAAACTCCCCCTCATACAACTTTTAGACTTAGCTTATGAATCGGGGTAAAGACAAAGGGAAACGCGTATCTGTAGTGACGTCACAAGGATATCGGCGCTTGACAATATTAGGCAATCCTCCTTGCGCTTATAATCCTTAATTTGTGGCAGTCAATGGCTGTTTTCCTTCGTTTCTAATATCATTTTTGATAATATTTTAATAACTTTAATATACTTACGTCATAATAACGGTTCACGGATATAATCAAAAAAATTCGCAGCACACAAATGTATTACCACGTTTATGCTTCCCGTTAAACCGTTTTGACTTAAAACGTTTTGAAAACGTGTTTTAAGCGATTTGCAAACGGCTTAAATACTGCGTAAACATCTCAAACCGTTTTTAAGGAGTGCCAGCACTGCTTGTTATGACATTTAAAAACTGTTTTGAGGAAAGCCTTAGGTATAGAAGTATAAACACGGAGCAAAGCGTTTTAAATTCAAAAACGTTTTACCGGTTAAAACGGTTTAACGGAAGCATAAACTTGGTATATAAATAACGAAAATAATCACAAAACAAAATTACCACGTTTATGCTTCCCGTTAAACCATTATAACAGAGAACGTTTTACTATAAAACACTTGTATAAACCAATTACCATGTTTATGCTTACGGTTAAACCATTTTAACAGAAAACGTTTTACTATAAGACGGTTGTATAAACACCCCATAAAGCGTTTTATCTCGTTAAACCGACGAAACTGAACATAAGCCATTGACAGTTTTCGGTGGGACACCCGGTATAATATATTTATCACCACGATCTGTTCTGAGGAACCTCCTTCATATTGTTTCAGGTATATCTTTTCTCTTCTGTAATGACCCATTCTGTCTGTGATAACTTCGGCCTATTCTAATTTGAATCTTGTTCTTATCCTTGCATTGGGCTTTTCTTCTTCCAGTTTTACTTCTTGATTCCGCTTGGACAAAATTTGCGGTTGGACGTTCTCCAGGATTGTTAAAACTATTTCAAAGGATTTGTCATCGCCAGCAGCAAAGTATAATCCATATCGTCTCACATGCAATCTGCACTTGTAGCTTTCAAATTGTGTTATAACTTCATCAAAATCTTCTAGAAATCTTTCCACTGACCTAATGTGGCATGGTAGTAACGACATTTACAATAACATTTACTCAGCGAAATTCTATGCAGCTGAATGGTTCACTGATAACGATTTAGAGGATGCGAAAGCTTCTGCTAGTTTAGAAGAATTTCGGTTAATAATAAGGTCACCTTAAGTATTGGTCTTACGCATAGCTCACGTAAAAAGAAAGGATTATTCTCATGCGGAAAAAACATGAATAATACCAATAAATCCAAAAATCCTTTATCCATTCCAATTCCAAGTGGAAGCCGTTAAGAAGAAAGCATACTCCATGAATCAAAGCAAATGAAGTTGGAAAAAAAAATAACGCCTAAGAAATAACGTACCTAGCTCAAAGAAGCATTAAATTTTGTGACGTAACAACCTGACAAATTCCTAATCTCAACACCAGAGAGCGCTCACGCTCGCTATCAGCCTCCATAATGAAGTAATTTAAACAGAAATAAGATTATAAATTGAAAGACATTTTAAATTTGCATTTAAATCAGTATCCGTGTAATCAAGTTGAGGCGGCGACGCGTCTCGCTTGCCGCCGTCGTCGTCGCCACGCCGCCCCTCTAGCGGAGCAAGCCGTTACGTAAACACTCGTTTTACACAGAGAGGAGAGGGTGGTTTTGTGGTGCAGAACGGATTAAAAGCTTTAGATAAGGATTTCTTTTAAATAATAAACAGAGTTCAAGCTTACAATCCCGGAACTTCATCATTTATAAATTGTGGTTATGATCCATGTCGTGGAAGAGAGAGGTCTGGTATAAAAGCCCCAGTCTGCCTAGCGGCAACATTAATTAGAAGTATCTTATATTGTGGAAAATGGCGGGCGCGATTGTCCGCCCAGGGCGATTTTAGATTATAACGAACCCAATTATGGGCGCGCGTTGTTGTACTGAAGAGAAATTTATTAGTATTACGTTGGCCGGCCTGTTAATTAGATTATGGTTTGGATATTGACGTAGAGACAAAACCACACTAACCACAGAAAAAAAAAATGCGCCCGTCTAAATTAATTTCCGCTAGCAGAGGCGAGAGCAAGACAACTTTTTGATGGCGCTTATTTTAATTAACTAAAGTAATTAAAAAGCCTGTAAATAATGAAAGAATTAATTAAAATGCTGTTTTGCCACATGATGGCGATGGCCAGGAGGGAGACCCGGTGCACCTAATTTAAACAGATAGACTCGGTAAAAGTGGAATAGTTAAACTATGAACTTGATTATTATAGAGTAGGTAACGTGTGGAAGAATAGAAATTATGTATGTTATTATGTCATTTAGGAAATGTAAAGTATGTAATGTAAAAAAATTGCGAATTAATTATTTACCTAGGGTCGTAGACTATATGGAAAAGAATTTATTATTTTAAATTTTCATTAATTATTGAATTTTTAAACCTGATCATAACGAACCGAAACTATAGGTTCATTACATCAGAAGTTTGTTATAATTGGTCTCATGGAGCCTAGGATCTGGTTAATCGTCCGTTGAAACACCGCTGGAGCATTTACTAATCCGAAAGGCATCCTTAAATATTCGTAGTGACCATCAAGAGTTACGAATGCTGTTTTTTCTCGGGAGTTCTCCGCCATGGTATTTGGTGGTAACCGTTCGCTATGTCCAAGGTCGTGAAATACTTGGATCTCTTTAAAATCTCTAAATGGTCATCCACTCTTGGTGAAGGATAACAGTCTTGCATTGTTTTTGCGTTAACAGCGCAGTAATCCACGCACATGCGTGATTCACCAGTTTTCTTCTTGACCAATACAAGGTGATACAACGTTCTTCTAATTATGTATCTACTTGCTTGTGTGTTTGTGCTTTTTTAATTCTACAACTCCCACATAACAAAATTGCATCCTTAGAATGTATTAAGAATGTTCTTTTTTTAGGAGGAATGTGCCTAGAATGTTCGCCAAAACCATTGCGAATGTCCTGAGAATGTTCTGAGAAAAGATTGTAGAAATACTGTTTGCAATACCCAAGAACTTCCTGGGAAATCCATTAGGATATTCCTAGAATATACCTATGAGATTCTCAGGACATCCTGAAAAGAATATTCCTGTTTGATTCTAAAAATATGATCGAAATGTACATTCTCGTATTCAAAGAATGTTTCTATGACATTATAGTTATGTTCTCAAAAGAATATTATACGAATATGCTTGAAATATTCTTAGAATATATCTACATATATCATTCTCAATATGCATCCTAGGAATATACATTCTTGTTTGATTCTAAGGATATACTTGGAATGTTAATTTTCTTTTCCAAATAATGCTCCTTCCAGTCCTTTTATATTAAAGGCAGTGAAAGAATTGTTGGAAAATTTCTCTGGAAAACACAAGTGTTTAACCAAAGCTCCGGTTTCGAGCTTATTATGCTCTCGTCGAAGCACGCCAACTTAGAGAAACAGGTTCCAAGGTGATTCAAACGCGAGGCAAGATGTAGATCTTTAATAGCGCGTGGCTCCCTCTCTTGGAAGTCCTACAAAGCAAAAGAAAAAGAATATACCTATAATATTATTAGTAGGTTCTAGATAGAGCATTATTGTTTAATTGTTCAATTAAGTTTTTGAGTAGGTACTTTAGATAATTAGGTGAACAAAATGAAAATATTCTTATCATGGGTACCTACCTACCTAAACTTCTCAGCACAACTTGGTTAGTATATTCTTAATACTTGATAGAGATATTAGCCGAAAGAACATTTTTTAGGGTACATTATAATAATGTTCGTATGAGAATATACAAATAATGTTATATAAAGTAGGTTCTTAGCACAATCTTTCAGGTAGGTGCATAGAAGCAACATTCCTAGTACATAAATAGAACGTCCAAAAATGAATATTTCAATCGAAACAATCTCAGGATATTCATTGAACATTCCCAAAAGAACATTCCAAAAAGCACTTTGAGGGAATATTCTGAGAATATGAATGTTCTTTCACTGTTATGTGGGCTGACAACTACAATAAGTACCTACCTACAGTCAAAAAAATCAATGAATATGTTATACCAAAACGAACTGTCAGTCTAACGTACCTACTAGTTGCTCTTAGCCGAAATCTCTCAAATTGAGTAAAACATTCAAAGCACGAATGCATCTGTATAGATATCAGCATATAAAATTTCTTCCTTTTCCAAGTTTAAAAGGAAGACGTAACAAAACATTATACTTATGTACTTTTTCATCTGAGATACTTTTCCTATGTATCATTAGAAAAACTGGGCCAAAAATAATTCTCGCAATTTCACCTATGCCATCCTTTTTCCGATGCCAACATACGTATAGCTGAAAAGCAAAATTCTAGAATATCCTCTGTCCCATTATACGCTCAAATTGCGATCATTAGACGATTGCTTTACACTCATTTGCTCCCATACATACGTGCCCTCTGTCGCTCATTAAATTCCGACTTTTTAGTGTGTAAAACGAATAAAAGGACCGTTAACAAGGGTGCCAATTTACCCCCCTTTCATAATTATAATTGATAGATTTTTTTTTATATATATAATTTTTAATAATTATTTTAAACGATTTTTGTTTGACTATAGAAATTTAATTTTAGTCTATTTTCATTGGTCCCGCAGGTTGTTCGGCAGCTCGGGAGCGTGCTCGGCGTGCGGTCAAACGATCCCCGCCAGCGAGTTTGTAATGAGAAGCGGTGGCGGTAACAACAATCCCTCAGGACCTGGAGCACCTTTGCACATTTTTCACATTAAATGTTTTATGTGCAGCAAGTGTTTGGCACCTCTCGTGCCTGGAGATAGGTAATAAATCATTATTATTATCAGTAATTTATCGTGCAGCTGCTTAGAAAATTGTTAAAAAAGCATTGCTTACTAATTCAATCCATAATAATTGTGTTTGAGACTATCAAAGAATAATATTTTGAAGCCTCCTTGGTATTTGATTACTAATTAGTCTTAACCAAAGAATACTTAAAAATACCGTAGCATATACGATATAATATGTAGGTTTATTGAAAGCTTATTTGTTTTGTGTGAATAGATGTGCCTTCTCTTCTCATAAATTAGAACTTTCTTGTACTAACATCGTATCATAACTATTCCTTACTCTAAAATAAAAGCGACAGGGTATATCACCTTTCCCATATGAGCTGTTCAGATTGATACAAGTGTATGAGAAGGTAATTGACTACATTGATAATTATTTATATCTCGTATCTCCTGAAAACAGAAATTCCGTCAGATTATTTTTGTTCTCTCCTACAGAAAATTGGATTTTCAATATTTTCCTTATAAGTATGCCAAGTTTTGTGAGAAAGCTCGAGAATTTTTTGCCTTTAGCTTCTTCTCTATTTAAAAGATCCTCCGAGACTTGCACACTTTAGATGGGATTTTAAAAAATCCACGATTTTAATGAAATTTTGGTATCTTGTAGATCTCGATCTACTGATTAAAAGTTCTCATGGGCCCAAGGTGATCCTATGACTGGTTTCCGAAATACAGTAGCGGGTAGGGGGCTACCCAAAAATCCGAGTAAATAGAAATTCTTTTACAAAAGGTTAACTTAAATACAAAAAGTGATAAGGACAAGGTTAATTTCACGCGTTGTATCCGGATAATAAGTAAATTGGATTAGGCAGAAAATATCCATATTTTCACAAAAACCCTTTTTTCGATGAGTCGCAATTTATTTGTGTTAACCCCTTAAATCACCCTCAAAGTAATTTGCAAGTCAAATGAGATTCCCTAAACGGTGTGCCTTGGTACTGCCTATAACTTCCAATACCATTTGTGCCCCCGAAACTAGGGTGGAAATGTCCATATTTTCATGAATATCCTTTTTTCATGGATCGCAATCTTTTTTCCCCTTCAAACCACCCCGAAATTAATTTGCAAGTCAAGTGAAATCCCTAAACGGTGTATATTGGAACTGTCTATAACTTCCAGTACCATTTTGTATCCAAGATTAGGGTGGAAATGTCCATATTTTCACAGAACCCCTTTTTTCGATGAATCGCAATTATTAGTTTTACCCCCTTAAACTATATCCTCAAAGTTATTTGCAAGTCTTTTTAGGTACTCTAAACGGTGTATCTTGGTACTGGCTATAACATCCTCTACTATGTGCCCGAGACTAGGGTAGAAATGTCCATATTTTCACAAAAACTCTTTTTTCGATGAATCGCAATTATTAGTTTTACCCCCTTAAACCACCCTCAAAGTTATTTTCAAGTCTTTTTAGGCACCCTAAACGACGTATATTGGTACTGTACCATGCACAAATGTGTACTTCCGGTACACAATTGTGCCCGAAACTAGGGTGGAAATGTTCATATTTTCATGAAAACCGAGATGAAAACCCTTTTTTTCATGGATCGTAATAACTAGTTTTAACCCCCTTAAACCAACCTCAAAGTTATTTGCAAGTCTTTTTAGGTACTCTGCATCTTGGTACTGCCTATAACTTCCAGTACCATTTGCGCCCGAGACAAGGAGGAAAATGTTCATATCTTCATAAAACCCTTTTTTTCAAGGATCGCAATAACTAGTTTTACCCCTTTAAACCACCCCGAAAGTAATTTGCAAGTCAAGTGAGATTTCCCAAACGATGTATATTAGACTGTCTATAACTTCCAGTACCATTTGCACCCGAGACTAGGGTAAAAATGTCCATAATTTCACCAAAACCCTTTTTTCGATTAATCGTAATTATTAGTTTTACCCCCTTAAACCACCCTCAAAGTTATTTGCAAGTCTTTTTAGGTACTCTAAACGGTGTATCTTGGTACTGCCTATAACTTCCAGTACCATTTGCGCCCGAGACTAAAGTGGAATTATATCATATTTTCATATCATATTATGTTATTTTGGTTTCACTTGAACGTCCGATTTTCGTATAAAGAGTAAGAATTGAACAGAAGGATTATATTTTTTGAGTACCCCCTGTGGATAGAAATTGACATCTACCATGGCCAATAAAAATACGATTCAATTAATTTTAACACTTTTTGTATTTCTATTTACTCGGATTTTTGGGTAGCCCCATACCCGCCACAGTATTACGGAACGGGGATCATCTTGGGCCCATGAGAACTTTTGATCAGAAGATCGAGATCTACAACATACCAAAATTTCATCAAAATCGTGGATTTTTGAAAATTCCATTTGAAGTGTGCATCATCCTTTCCCAAAAAATCTCAGATCTGCGAATTCTTTTTGTCTTTTTTCTCGATTTTTTAAAAATCTTGACTGCTAGAGACTGATGGTATTGTTTTGATTTCATAAGCATGATCACTTTCGCAGCAAGTTTGGAGGTATCCATAGTTCCCTAGTCTCAGAATAGAGTTGGTGATGTTAGTCAAACCTATTACAGCCATTCTAGGCATCTGTCCTATTGTCTAGTTCAAAGTTCTATTGAGAAATTGGTGTATTTCTAGATCTCAGGCCTTTGGTGAAATTAACAATCTTCTCTTCGTAATTCTCATTTTCATTTGGGTGTTCGTTTTGGCAGTCTTTTCACTCTGAAGTATCTACGAAAGCTTCAGCTTTATTCATATCAGAGATAATACCATTCCAATGAAAATGCAATGGTGCAGGTTTGGTCCTAGGTGCTTCTACATTTGCCATGCACACTGTTCAATAATTATGTTAGATAATGGATCTTCTTAGCTCATCAATGGTATATGATTAGTTTAAGGGCTTCCTCTGGTCTTCCGTATTTTCTTCTAAGTCTTCTGTAACTAGCACTCGAGAATTTTTTGTCTGACCTTCTCGGCATTGGTCTGGTTACTAAGCATTCCTGATGCGCTCCCAGAATTCAAAGTTTCAGCAGCCACTTCCAAGTGCGCTCAGAGTTAGGGATCACTGCGATGCTATCTTGTTTTGAAGCCGTCGCATATAGTCATTCTGCCTGGTAGTGCTCTTAAGCTACTATGCTCTTATCGACTAAGAATTTGGGTATTCATAGTCGAGGTTACCAATTATGATGGTGGAAATCTGGATGGATGACTCATGAATTGTTTCCGAGCGTTACAAGGCACTTCATCAAACATATATCCTGCACAAAAGAAAACACTTCCCTCCTAATTTTCGACAATCACGAGAATCACCTAGGGATAGAAGGAATTACTCTAACCAAGGAAAATGGAGTGATCATTTTGACCTTGTCTTGGTATTTTTTTCGTTTAAATCATTCTACAATACTGCCTTAAAAACATGGCTTTTAGAACACCCTGGGATCTGTTTCCTGTTTTCTATTTTTGATATTGCTGGCTCTGTTGTATAATATGCATTATTTGAAAAATCGATGAATCCAGCTAATATAAAATCCAGATTTCGAAAAATTGGGTTTTATCCTTTCGATAAATTCATATTTACAGATGATGACTTTGAAATTAGCAGTGTAACTGATAGGAATATGGATCAAAACAGTGAAGAACCCTGACCACTTATAGATCCAAATCAACCATGAACATCAAGCTGCATTGAAAAAAATATTATGTCAGACTTCTTACTTCCAGCATCAGTTAGTTTAAACACGACTCCTACACAAAATCACAGTAAGAAGCTTTCGTAAGTCCACAAGAATTTAAACAACAAGAGAAAGAAGAGAGGAAAAGCTAAAAGTATTATCGTCACCGTCGTCACGGACACTCCAGAAAAGATCGCCCTAAAAGCTAAACAGATGGAGAGAGAAAGAAAAAGAAGTATTAAGAAGAGAAATATCGTGAAAAGAAAAGTAGGATTCGATGAGGACTCAACTAGAGTGGGAAAACCTGAATATCATTTTCCAGGAGAATGTCAACTAATGCTAAGTAGGCTGGATTTTCTCAATCTCAATATATTGACTACTGTATCTCGAAATCGTTATCCACTTCTATATGAGAGTCATGAAGTGTAAGTCTAGTACTGCTATTCCATTATCGCAGCATGAAACGGTACGCCTCGTTCCCTCTAAACGAGATTCTGTTTATATTGCTAATCTTGGTATGCTGCAGAGCCAAGTCATATTGATGGTTCTCTATTAGTTCTTCGGTGTCCAGTCTTCTAGATCTTGAACCCCTAACATTCCTGAATATATTATTCAATTGATCAAGCCTTCCGAAGGTTAGTTCCTTGAGAAGTTGTTGGTATAAAGATATTTTCTCTTTTATGATGAACCACTGTAGGTTCGCGTGTTGATCTTCTGGTGTAGTTAAGTTACAGTCCAGGTCCGCTTGTAGGGAGGAGGCAATGGGCTTCCTTCATAGTAGGAGGGTCCGGTTTGTCTTCACGGTTTGAGCGACAGTAGATCTGTGATTCCCTTCGAACTTTACGCTCGGTTATTGGAACGAGTAGCTACCTACCTCGATTGGATGATTCTTCTCTACGTCGTGTTCGTCTATGAAGCGTTTCGGGTTCAAGATCGTAGGGTTCTTTGTCCTGACGAGAGAATTATGCATTGACGCATTGTTCCTCCGCTTGCTGGTCAATTGGCTGTATCCTGCGTAAGCAAATCTCAAGAATTTCAGTTTTTCTAGGGTTGCTTCAACTGGCATGTGCCTTACTATACGGCTTCAAACGTCTTTCCCGCTTGTAACTGATACGTATAGTTTTCGTTTTAGATTAGCGCCCTATAATCCATCATCTATAGTGCGTTTCACGTAAATTAAACACCATTTTACTTAGGATTTTTACCATAATTTGTCTGTCCCACATATCATTCAGTTTTGTGGCTTTATTTATTGTAGAGCCTGTTTCTCCTTGTCGATTCAGCATAATGTTAAAATGTAGTATCGATTTGACAGAGAAAGAGGTGGAATATAAGATAATCTGTGACTTCTGTGGTGTCTGGAAATTCTGGAATTGCTTGGCCTGTTCAAAATTCTCAACCTCAGAGGCTCAGGTGACACGGTTAAAGTCCGAATCTGAATGTTGTTATCAATAGCGTTGATGAACCCAAAGCCACTCTTACTTCACTGGAAAAGTCAAACACTGCTGCAGGCGATAATCTTTCGGAAATAAATAATGCCAGCCTTGTCATGTACAACGCAGCAGCATCTGCTGTTTATGATATGATGATAAAGGAACTAAAACAAAGTAACAAAGATTTACAGACTAGGCTACTCAAGCTTGAAAATGAGCTCCAGCTACTTACTGCAACCCTGAATTCCATTAAAACTGTAGGTATCAAACTCCTCAGGTCCTTCGCCAACCCCATCTCAATTCCAACCTACTCTACAGTCAGTGCCCATTAGGAATGAGTCAAGAAGCTTTCAATCATTCAATAGTCAGCAAAAGTCTCAGCGACCGGTCCGCAGCATAGAGCGCCAATCAGTGCCTAATCCAGTAAGAGTATCGGAACGCTGATGTTACAATCCTGTCAGTGGCTATATCTGGATCGATGTGATCCGAGTACTACCGAAAAACAGACCTCTGACTATTTGAAGGATCAGCTTTCCATTCCTGATGTCAAATGCTCGGTATTGGACAAAAATGATGATCTGGTTTCATTAAAAATTGGGGTTAAAGAATCCCTTTTGAAGGACCTGCTAGATTCAAACCTCTGGCCTGTAGGCATTGCTGTCAAGGAGTTCCATCCTTGTCGTATGAGGGCAAAACCCTCCACAGCAAATTTTCAGAGGGGATCAGTCTCATTAGATTGTGCTACCTTTCTGTACCAAAATGTAAGAGGCTTAAAAACTAAACTCAAAGATGCTTTCTGTGCTGCTGGCGCCGAGTCTTTCTCAGTGATCGCACTTACGGAAACCTGGCTGGACTGTAGTATCTGTGATGCTGAATTTCTTGACTCACGTTACACGGTTTATCACTGTGATAGGAGCAGTCTAAACAGTGCTAAAAGCCGTGAAGGTGGGGTCCTTCTGGTAGTAAATAATTGCTTAAATCCCATCGACTGTCAATTGGTGAAGCATCGGTGGAGGAAACATGGGTGTCAGTAACGCTGGGTGATTTGGTCTTCTGTATTGGCTGTGTCTACATTCCACCTACCATGGATATTTCGTATTATGAAAACCACTTGAAATCAGTTGCGAGTGCCTGTAAGATGTTTGATAATGTGGTTGTTCTTGGAGATTATAATCTTTCTCAAATACCGTGGTCCACTAGTGAGGATTTCTCTGGTTTATTACCTAGAAATGTAAGGTAAACTAAGGAAATATTGTTATGTGATGGTACTGCCTCTCTTAATCTGTCTCAATACAATGGGGTGACTAACGATCACGGTTCAATCCTGGATTTATGCTTTGCCAACTTTGAGCTCCTACAAATTATACATAAGTCATACTGAAAGGGCCATAGGAACTAATGTGAAAGTCTTCTAGAACTTTTTTCATTCCCAATCCCATCAGGGTACTATTCCTAAAGAAATGTTTCTGAGGACAGAAATAGCGTCCAACGGTGTTGACATAGCTAATTTTCTTGGTGCTTATTTTTCCTCTGTCTATAAACCCCAGAGAAATTCCAACGCCAGAACTTTTGCTGATCGATTTGAGAATGTTTCAAGCATTGTCATAGACCCAACCGATATTGAGACTGAGACCTGAAGTTGTATCGTCAGGTGGCGTCAGCTCAAGGCATACTTATTCTGCAAAACGATCTTAACATTGTTAATGATTGAAGTCAGCTTAATGATAAGTGTTGTTGTATAACATTCAATAGACTCACCTGTAAGGTTCCCTTTCTATTCAGTATTGCTTAGGTGATGTTCGCTTGTCTGAAGTTTCTGTCATCAAAGATCTTGGTGTCTATCTAGATACTAGGTTAATGTTCAGCATTTTGAAGGGGTAGGTAATTGGCAGGGCTAATAAAATGTTGGGTTTTATTAAGAGAGCTACTATAGGGACTTTACAAGTATACGTTCCATCAAAATTCTTTACGTAGATACTTAAATAAATAAATAAATCATGAGTTTGGGGTGTTCTCTCCGAATATGCAAATGTAGTCGAAGTCCAAGGTTGTTTGAGAGAAGTAGGTTGCCTGATAGCTTTCATGACGTCAACTTCAAATCTCTATAAGCCACCCCAGATGATCAGATGACTTCATCAAGTTACCCATTACCAGACAACCTATCAATTTTAGGAACCTTGGTCGAAGTCGATAAGAATCGACTACATTTTTCTGTGTATATTTGATTTCGAAACTTTGATCTTTCCTCTTCTGTGAACGATTCTCCGAGACTTTTTGTTTTTATCGTCTTCGAAATTTCGACTTGCGTAAAAGATCCTCAAATTTTTGTCTTTGATATCCCATTTTCTGTGAGATACTTTTGATCCGTCAACTGTTGAACTTTATAGTATTTCTGTCTCCTATTTTCCGACTCTGTAAGATCCCCAGTGTATTTTTTGTGTTCTTTCTTCGGCTCATGTCCCAGAGTACCTACAACTTTTTGTTTTTGTCTTTGTTCTTCTAACTTTTGTGAAACATCCTAGGATTCTTTTTTATTTTGATCTCTCAACTTCTCCAAAAGATCCTTGGAGACTTTCCGTTTTTGATGTTTGGAAAGAAATTTGCGAACTGTCAATTCTATCAAACTTTTTTTCACCTGTGAAAATAAAGCATAATGCTTCATGGAAAATAAACGCGCACAAGAATGCTTCCATATAGTAACTAGATAAGTTATTGAAGTAGGTAGTTGGTTGGTTTCAATAGCACCAAATACAGCAATATCATAAGAACTTTTAGCAGATAATCATAAGGCAATCGTTCCAAGCAGTTGGGTTAGTTTAAGCAAAAAGCGCATTTTCAAGCTTAAATCCTGCATAATTCATATGAAAAGGATTTTTTACACTTTATGTTATTCGCTAACGGTTTCGGGATTATTTTTGTATAAAATGCACTTGTTATAATATGTATTGTTGGTATTTTTAAATTTCATTTATTTCCAGGTATTATATGCTGGCAGGTAGCCTGGTATGCGAACAAGACTGGCACAAATTGCTCAAAAGCTCGGCGGCAGCACCGACAGTACGAAAAGGCAAAGTGGGGCGACCGCGTCGGAGTAGGGACTGAACAAACAACAGTACTGATACAGGTAATATTTAAAAAAATAAACAACCAACAAGTATATTAATAAAATTTCCATCGAGCGGGAAAGAGATAGAGTAGGGTCCCTTTGAAGTCCGCAAAGTAATTACATTTTCAATCAAAGGGAAAATGGCCGTGGTCGTGGCGTCCAGAGTCCGTTACGCAGACAACCGATGCTTTAATTATATGAGATTAAATTTAATCCAAAATTAATTTAGTAAATTATATTACTTTGTTGGTTGGCTGTACGGCAAAACGGGCTCTGGATTGCCGCAAAGGAGGCTGTTTATTTTATTTGTTGGGGAAAATTTACTTATTTTTCTGAAGAAATTAACAGAGGAGTCAGGGTAAGCGAAGAACCATAGCAAAATCATTGTTGGTCAAACTTTATTAACAATTAATTGACCGTTGTTTAAACTATTTCATTCAAAAAAGCGTCTAAGAAAAATTGTAACTTCAACTATCAATAATTAGTATCCAGAACATGACTCGTCAGTCTAGTTCCGACCATAATAAGTATGAGTGAGAAAGACAAGATAAAAATCTCCCTAATTTCAAATTCTAAATTCGTTTAAAGCCTTCTCGGATTTAATTGGGGTTTTGAGCCAAAAAATTCCTCTCTAAGCTCAAAAAAAAAATTAATTGGCTCATTTCACGTGACTCTAATACCAATCACAACCTGATCGAGTGTATTAATTAGGCTTTTAAATTTTTTTGTAAATAAATCTATTCGTCAATTAGTGAATTCGGCAAGATCTACTCTACTCACAAAAAGAACCATTGTTAAAATACCAACTGGAACGAGCGATCGCTCCTCTCCGCGGTCTAATGAGGCCTTGTTTGTTTTCTGTATATACTTTATAGTCTCTCTTTTGCCATTTTTAGCTGCTCGGAAACAACGGATTGTCTAATTAGAGAGACAAAAGCACCGGGGACACAATAAGCCAACGTAATTGTCAGATATATCTATAACAACCAAGCCAAGAGCCTTTAATTAAATCAAAAACTTAACCGACCGACCAATTAGGGCGCGGTATTTTTCTTCTTGATAATATGTAAATACCACCGGGCATTGTTGCGAAATTAATTCTAAAATGTCCCTCCTTCTAAAAAGAAACTTTAGATTACTCTTGAGGGTGGGTGGGAGTGTTAGGAGCGTCGCATCGCCTTAACACTTAGTCATAGTACTTACGTTTTACATTAGTGTTGATCCTTTTTTGGAACTAAAAGAAGCTTTTAAGACTAATGCAGCAGTAAAAGCATTAGGTTTCTAGTGCAATTCGTTATTCTCTCCTTTCCCCCTTAAAAATAGGAACAACTTATACTGCGTAACATAAAAAAATATATATTTGTTGCTTAGGACTAAGTAGCCTAATCGCTGATGATAAGTCGTAAAGATTATAAATTTTGGTTTTTTATTTAAATTAAACTTTCGTCAATAGAATATTTACTTTGCAATTATTAAAATGTATGTTTGTAAGCATTACAGAAAACATTATTATTAATTTTAATATGAGAAAGTTGGCTTGTATAATTAATTAATTAATTAAAATAATAGTGGGATGGTAGAACAAAGAACAAGTCTAACAAATTACTATAATTACTTTAATGAAAATCTTTCTTGATTTATTCATTATTTTTCATGCATAAACTTTGCTTGATAGTTGATGTTTCACTTATCATCTTTGGGTTAAGTACTTCGATCAAATTTTGCATTACAAATAAAATAAACAGACCTTTTTTGTCACAATAAGTTACGATAAGAATAATTTGACTCACTTCTTGCCCAGAACTTTGATCCATCACAAGCATGTCGTCTTGATCTGCAATCGGTCCCAAAATTTGGTTTGACCTGATTGTTCCTTATGGAAGTATTTTGGAAATATGATTTGTTTACTTTATAGGGTTTTCGAAAAAATGAGCTGCATGCGACATATGTTGCCTCCATCAAATTTTAAACTGCTATAGTGGCATTCCTTGACATAGAAGGAGCCTTTGACCACATCTCCTTCAACTCCATAGTCAGAGCTGCTGGGCAACATGCGATTATTGATACCACAAGCAGATGGATTAAATGCATGCTAAAACACAGGACTATAAACTCGACTATTGCTGAAACCTCTATTAAAGTAACCGCGACAAAAGGATGCCCACAGGGCGGAGTATTTTCACCACTCTTGTGGAATCTAGTCGTAGATGAACTTCCGAGGAAACTAAACGATCAAGCAAGGTTACTTTACCTTAGGCTACGCGGATGACATAGTCGTTGTCATTAGGGGAGGATTTACCAGGACGGTATCAAACCTCATGCAGGACACCTTAGGAATCATTGAATGGTGCACGAGGAAGCAACTTCGCGTCAACCCCTCCAAAACAAAACTCATTTTATGAGAAAAAGAAATCTGGAGGACTCAATAGCCCTCATAGTCTATTCCAAAAAACCTTGGAGCTTGGCAGGGAAGCTACATTTCTAGGCATCATCCTAAATATGAAGCTGACACGGAACCAACACATCCAAAAGATAACCAGATAAAACCAAATAGACATGCGTCTATCAGCAAAATAATGACAAACCCGATTTTAACCATGGGTAGTGACTATATGATGCCGAAAAAATCCCTCGAAAAACCCTTCGCCATCGAGATTGTCCCACTAAGAAATACCGGGGCAACACCTAAACAAGAAATTGTCTGGTTTACTGACGGCTCCAAAACAGAAACTGGAACTGGCGCTGGAATATATGGACAAACTCCCAAATGCGACATCAGTCAACCTCTAGAAGAATATATTACTGTATTCCAAGCAGAAATATATCATCTGTTCACTACCAATGAATGCCTCCTATCTAGAATTTTTGGTCAAATTAAGGTTAATACACCAATGGGTAGTTATTTGGAATGGAAATATCTCCTAATGACTGAGATTCATATTTTCTCGCCAATTTTCAAACGGAAATGTCACCAAACTACACAGGCTTCAGAATGTGTAAGCAGAACCTCCTTCTTGCATTTTGTGGTTTCCTTTAAAAAGTAGTAATCTGTGTGTCCTACGACCCGTATGTATATCGTTTCAATTCGAAAACAATAATTAATTTGTTAAAATGCGTAAATCAAAATTTTATTGTAGATAGGAGGTCTTTCCGTTCTACGAAATTGATATTAACTGTAGCCAATACCTCCTGTCCCGAATTTTATTATTGATGATTGGTAACCGGTTGGTTAATCAAGTGGTTAGAGTTATGAAAAATACGTATAGCTGATTCATGTGATGCGTTTGTCCCAGAACAATGGGTACCAGGGCGCAGAAAATTATAGGCGATTTCGGCAAGCTTTGGTTGGTATACCATTTATTTAACCATTTGGTACCTGGTACCTGCAACGTCATAGAAATGAAGTAAGACACCATTTTGCTCCGAATTCGTTTGGTAGGTCGAGAGAGGGGAAGAGACGAGCCTCAACCTAACTTTGTGTTGTTCTTCTAGTTTTGGGAGTGACTAGGTACTGACTGCACTGACTAAAATCTATAACCACTAATCAGCACTCTGTAGACAGTGCTTTGCAGTACCTTTGAGTAACCTATTGGCTAACTCGGCGTTTTCTGTAAATGTAAAACTTATTCCATAATCCATTCAGCAAAAAACTTACCCCATATCTGTCGTTCAAAGCCATTTTTCAAATGATCGTCAAACATTATTTGGCAGTCAAAACATACGAGAAAACCGGAAGATGAAGGCGAAAAAACAAGCATATTTGTTAAAAATTTCAAATTCTTCAAATTCTAATGAACTTCCATTTATTTACATTTCCCAGGGTAAGACAAAACGAAAATAGCACTATACCAAATGACAAGACCAAAAAGGATACCAGAGTCACAGTGATGACATAATTTTCGTATCCGAAATTGGTTGGTATGCATTTGACAGACCAAACAGAGTGTTAGAATTAGCAGATATAGACCAAACTAAATGAATAACTGGCGAAAGTAATTAGACTAACAAACAAGATGCGAAGAATGAATCTCACACACCATTTTCTGGTGCAGACTACATACCTAGCTTACTACCAGGGTCCTTATTTTCGAAACCGGGGAATGGTGTTCTCATTAGAACGGAGCTTCTGTCTTTATCAGTGTTATGGAAATATGAATATGAGCGACGAAGACAGAAGCTTCGTTCTCATGACCCTCTCGGACCCTGATATAGATACAGAAAATAAGAGCGCGGTATTGATAACCATCACCTGGTCACCAGTAACCAGGATAATATTATGAATCTACTTTTACGGAAAACTCAAGAACCCGCCTCTATTTCAATTCGAAATGCATACTCTGGATCCAGAATATATAGGTACCCGATACAAAAAATAATAATATTATTATAGTCAGTGATGGGCCTGGCAGAGATACTGATGATCCTGATGGAAATTTAGTTTTAGATACAACATTAGATGGTGACATTCTTTGTGATGAGCCGATGTCCAATCTAGACAATATACCCGATAATGGAGACAACAGCGATGAATAACCACTAGATGAAGATATCGATAACCATGCTCCAGATACCGAACAATCTATAGCAGGGGCTCCAGGAGCAGAGGTGCCTTGTGAGGACGTCTCGCATGGAGATATGAGCGAAGGCTGAAAAAAGAGAAATAGGGCGAATGGGAAATAAAAACAAGAACAAAAAACTTAGAATAGAAGGCAAAGAATATTTGGCTTATTCAAAACCGAGAGGAGAAGTGATGAAGCAGAACCAAAATCGAGAAGCTCGATCTCTCAAGCCGACTTGTGCCTCTGCTAGTTGTGAAAAATCAAAAAAACGAATGTGTGGAAAGTTTACAGAAATTTTAATTAGGTAACGACCCAATTAAGGACCGATTGAGAAGTGTTTCCTCTCTGCCGGACCATCCGTGGACGCGTTTCGCTGTATTACAACAGCTCATCAGCACGGTTAAGGTCCGGCAGAGAGAAAACAAAACTCATCAAACTCAACAATTTTGGTTCCGTCCTGGAACTGGGTTTGATGCAAGTAAGATAAAGACAGAGTCTCCATCTATTCAACATTAACATTATTTATAACAGTTCTTGGTTGCAATTTTTGGTGTGCCGACCAGAAAATAGATCATCATCATTCATCTTACTTGTATCGAACCCAGTTCCGGGACGGAACCAAAAATGAGTTTTGTTTTCTCTCTGCCAGACCTTAACCGTGCTGATACAGCTACAGCGAAACGCGTCCACGAGTGGTCCGGCATAGAGAAAACACTTCTCAATCGGACCTTAATTGGGCCATTACCTAATTAGAATAAATGTTTTCGATTTCTAATCGACTTTATTTCTGGTTGGCAACTAGAATAGCTATTCTCGCAATTGTGGCGAATGCCTTTGCGAGTCTATTTGCTCCAATTTGAATCTAGTTAATTTTATAACAGTTCTTGGTTGCAATTTTTGGTGTGCCGACAAGAAAATAGATGGAGACTCTGTCTTCACCTTACTTGTAAGTTCACAAAAGGTGAAAGAAAAAGTTTATTTGAAAAGTTTTGGTCCAAACTCAAGTAGGATCAAAGAAAGATTTACGTTGTTTCCCATGTCAATAGAGTTGCTACAAAACGTAAGACAACATTAAATGACTCTCGCCGAGGAGAAACCTTAACTTATTCTTCGACGTTCAAGGATGAAAAGTATCCAGTGTGTCGAACAATGTTCTTAAATACCCTTGGAATAGGTTCTTTTCCAGTACAAAGTTGGACGAAAAAAAGTAACCATGCTATGCTCATAAATAAAAAATATGACAATCTAAATCGTATGAAGAATTTCCCTTATGCCGAGGATATCAATTATTTAAAAGATTTTTTGAAACAGTTACCGAAATTGCCTTCTCACTATAACAGTAAATTCTTCTAAACTTATTTATTTGGAACTGATTTTTAAATCATCAAAACAACTGTACGACTTATACTCAGAGCATTGCAAGAACGCGAACAAACAAATTCTCTCGAGTAATAGTTATTTACCTTGTTACAAATTAAATTGAAATTTGTTACTTTTAGCCCCACGTTGGCCGCCAATCTGTTACAAATTAATGAGTTATTTGAACTATAAGATAAAAGAACCTAGGGTCGTGGAATTCAAAAAATTAAGATAACGTGTAACCTGTTTATGTGCAAATGAAACCACTCAAAATCCAACAAACAATTATTTTATTTTGTTTACAATGTTATGTAGTTAACATAAGTAACAGTCAATGTTACTTTCTGTAAAATTTTACAGTTGACAGCTTCGTTGTTCTGGTGAATCTTATACAATGTACCTTTCTAATCCGGAGCACTTCAATGGTGATTGGGGGGTTTCACTTCCGTGAACTGGAGCTCTTCGTGTTGTTTCCTGTATCGAGGAAAGAGGATAGTTTGCTGGGGTGATGTCACTCCAACTGATCCAGACTCCAAACAGTGATCTTTATATCGAGTAGGTACCCAGAAAAGAATAAGGCAGTATCAGGTTCACGAATATTTGGAATATTAAATCCCTGAATTCCAAGTAGGAGCGACTATTGTAAATTGGAGAAATATTTTAATATAAAAAAAAAACATTAAATAATTGAAAATAATGGTAAGATAATAGTAAAATTAAAATTATAACAACAAGATTAAATTAAAATGCTCGTTATAATTGAGTAAAATGCTGCTTTTCTGGCAGTAGCAATAACAGGCACGAATATGAACAAAATCAGATAAAAATCAAAACTTTAGATTCTCCCCCAAATAAACAAAATTTTCCTTTCAAATTAAGTTAGTTACTATAGGTAGGTGCTACAAGATAAACCTGAAGGTGCAATAAATCAAATCCAGAATATGTCAAAATTCTTGAGATGTTTTAATTCAAACTTTTTTTAAATGAATTTTTCACCTGTCTGAATTTTTATTTTAGAAAATTACACCCTTTTTCAACACTCTTCTCTTCAAGAAGATAATCATTGAAGGAGTCAAACAGAGAATGGTTTTACAGGCCTCTGCCTGGATCAGTGGCGACGCGTGACCAGCAATCTGGGGGAGGGGGTAAATGTTACGGGGGGTTGAGGGGGCGCTCTCTGAAAACGCGCCGCAAATTTCAAGGTCATTCACTTTTCCAGAACAATTATTTCCTTTCTGAGAAAAATAAAACCGGAACAAAAATGTATTTTCTTCAAAATATTATGTAGGTATTTTCTTTTGGCCATCCTGATTTTTCTCTTGATAATTCGATCCTGGCAGGGGGTAATTGGGTCACCGTCAATTCGTCGTAAATCAATATGTCGTACGTCAATTCGTCGTACGCCAATTCGGCATGAAGTCAATCTGTCGTATATGTTATTTCGTCGTAAAGTCAATTAGTCGTATAGGCCAATTCGTTGTATACGTCAATTCGTCGTGCACGTGAATTCGTCGTGCACGTGAATTCGTCGTGCACGTGAATTCGTCGTAAAGTCAATACGTCGTATACGTCAATTTGTCGTAACAATATTTCGTCGTATACGTCAATTCGTCGTATGAGTAATTCGTCGTTTACGTCAAATTCGTCGTATTTCAGATATAATGTTAAAATATTGAAATGTATACATTTACACCTTGTCGTTATTTCAGACATTACCAAATTTACCGATAATAACCCGGTTAATTTGCAATTTTAATCAGACAAGACATTGCAAACTAACCCAAACGAACCGGGTTATTATCGGTAAATTTGATAATGTCTGATTAAAATTGCAACTTATTAACACGTTAATTCGTCGTAAACGTCAATTCACCGTATTGTTAATTCGTCGTATTCCAGGTACAATGTTAAAATGTATAAATTTGTACTTTCACTGTTTAATCCATTTTAACATTATGCCTGAAATACGACGAATTGACGCATATGACGAATCAACGCTACGACGAATTGACTTTATGACAAATTGACGTGTACGACAAATTGGCTTTACGACGAATTGACGTATACGACGAATTGTGTTTACGGCGAATTGATGTATACGACGAATTGAATTTACGATGTATTGGCTTTACGACGAATTGACGTACGACGATCTGACTTACGACAAATTGGCATACCCCCATTACCCCCCCCACCCCTCCGATGTGACGCCCTGGCCTGGATTCAATAAAGAGTTGATAGGGATCACAATCCTGTGTTTTTTATACTAACTGCGTTTTAACCAGTTCAACCAATCAGAAGAGTACACCCAAAAGACCATATTCACTTTAGAATGAAAAACCACGTGGAATAAAAGAGAATAGATAAAAATCCACTAGAATTATTTTAATTGTTTACAGATTATAATAATTTAAATCAAGGTTATGTCAAAAACAAAAAACTGCTAATTAATAAGGTCATTAGGCCAAAAAATGATTATTTCAGAAGCAGAAGTTAGAGAAAAACAGAAATAGGTATATCGATTTGCTAAAAGTGAGATAAATATAATTTCTTTAAATGAAAATACAAATGACTGTCAAATGCAAAATAATTAAAATCACACTTTGAAAAATAAATCCATCAGGTACTTGATGGCAGTACCTTCATTTAATAATAGATATTTGCATTTTATGCACATCATGGATAGATGGCAGTACTGGTATTATCTCGAACTTTGTGGATATTTTTAGATTTCTTAGATTATGAATTATGTTGCTGATACTGAAATGGCAAAAATACAACTTTATAATGAAAATAAGAAGATATGGAACATGTTACATAAATGATAAATTTATCGTAACACGTTCAGAATTAACAAGACCCTCCAGATCCAGTATTAATAGCTCCTCTTGAGATAATTTCTGAGGAACCACATTAGTTGAATTCAAAAAATATGTCGAATCCAAATCAGTACAATAATTCCATGTCAAAATCAGATTTTCTGTACTCATCAGGAACTATCGCAGAATCGACAGAAGTGAGATGAAGCTCCAGAATAAAAAACCCTGTTCAAAGATTTATTCCTTCTTGAGAGGGAGGAATTGTTATATATTCTTAATGTTACCTATCTTTTTGTTATCTTTATTATTTTACTTCGTATTTTATGATTGTCAGATTGTTGTCTTGTCTTGTAATTATATAATAAATTGTTATACATACTGCAATACATATTAGAGTCCATGACAAGATGAAATCTCACATTCCACTTTTAGATCATAGTTAGTTGTCACTGTCACCAACGTATTGAATATTGATATATACTAGATCAGCTTTATAAATGGAAAAGATTCATGGTTCCGAAATGTCACCCCTCTTGTGACTGGCTGTGACTGTGATAATAAGCAGCTTTCATTAAGGATGATTTGATGACTATGCAAAAAAAAAATAGTTATCATATTATAAAACAAATTTAATTTTGCGCACTCATACAAATCCAACAATATGAGTTTTGTTTTTCATAAAAGTACACAATTAAACGGGCGCTAATTGTACTCGTGTCCGCAAAGATCAAAACTTAATAACTCGTTAACTTCCCATTTCATTCCCAAACACCAGCCATTCTTTAAGTTCCTCTCTCCCGCCAATCCCGCCGTTAGCAATAATAAGTTAAAAGCAGACGAAATTCCTCTCTTGCTTGCATTCTCATCTAATGGCAGTCTCGTCCTCTCTATCTCTCTCTTCAACCACTAACTTTAATCATTAATTAAGTTTATTTTAATTATACACTTTAATGCCCTCTAACGATATTAATAATTAATATTTGCTTTTTTTGTTGCAGTTATTCCATGGTAGCTGTCCAGGACGTGCAATAAATATGAAAAACAAAGACAGTTTTTTTGGTTCGGTCTTCCCAGCATATCCGTTCTACTACTAGTGATAATTTGAAGTCGAATTTTGGAAGGTGAGACAAGGAAAGAGCTAGGATGCCCATTAATTTGTTAAGCGTCGTCATCTCTCTTTCCTCATCTAATAATGTCCGCCAAAATTCGTCTTTCCTCGTTGGTATAACGAAAAAGATCCGACATCAAAACGAATGACAAGCAATTAATTATTGTAAATCCTATACCATTTTTTTTGTTGGGTCAATTATTATCAACTTTGTAAATAATACTTCTCTGTAAAAAAAAATTTAAAATAAAAAATTGTGATTGTTTTGACGACACTGTCAAAAATTATTATTAATTTTTAATTGTGACACCCGCGACCTTAACCGATCGAGGTGATTTTTATTATTTGGTATGTTGTTGTTATTTTTGTAAATAATAAAGTATTGTTAATTCTGAATATAATTTATTTTTGTCTTTTACCTATCGAATGTATTCTTTGGAGCAAACTAGATACGCCACTGTTTGGCCTTGGACTGTTATGCTGTTTTATCATAAAAGAGACAAGGATACAGATATTGGAAGATTGACAACTGCAGAATGGGTGGAGCTTACAAAAGCATAGGCGTAGGATCTGTCTCATATTGAAATTTATCATTGAAGACAATTATTGCCGCAAAAAAAACCATTAATTGTATATCTAACACATCACGCTACGATTCCAAAAAATGCTGACATATTTTCAAAGATTCCGGTGCTTTACTAAAACTTGTTTCCCTAACTTTATACTCTTATTTGAACTGCCTCACTGACGCTAAAACGCTTTATATGTAAAAAATCGAGAATCCCTAAATTCACGTGAATACTTGTTTATTTAAATCATTGTATTTCCCTACTATCAGCAGTACTAGTACTATGCCTTCTAGACTCCTTAGAACCGAACCATGTCCTCTAGATCTATGTTCTTTGTCATGCGCGTAAACATCTTCATCATTGCATCTATCCACAAGCTCAACATCTCGACTGGTCATGGACCGGTGTCACTGGGTGTTTTCTACCGAGGTACAGTGTGGTTTGGCGTCTTAATGGTTACACTCTCCCCTTTTGGAGTTTCCCCACGTCCGCGCGGATACTCCAAGTCAATTTTTGATGTATGAACCCCACATAAACAAGTTGAAGCTTTTATGCGGCGTCTGGGTCGTCCATCTAATCTGGGCTCATCGTCATTTTTATTTTTTTCTTCGTTAGAACTCTCATTGTCATCAGGTGTATTATCAGTTTCAATAAGGCGTCTTCTCATGGGTCTTCCATGTGGGCGTATAGGTCGTACTGGTGTTGGAACTTCTCCTTTTCCCACATAAGGTGCCATAGCTGACGTATGTAATTTGATCGTGGGACTTTCAGTTGGCTCTAGAGGTTTAACTTCAATTGTTGTTTGATTGACAACCTTAGTTATTTCATATGGACCATCACGTCGTGAAGCAAATTTTAAAGTATAGGCAACTTTGGCTTTGCTAATTGGGTGTGTATCCACCATCACTCGATCTCCCTCTTTGTAATGGGGAATAGTTCTTCTCCTTTGGTCAGCATAATGTTTTGATTTATCTTGGGACTTTTCATGGAGCTTTCTTGCTTCTCTCAAGCTTCTAGCAATATTTATCAAATAAGGGGTAACTTGGGGAATGAAATTTTCACTTTCAGTGATAGCTCCCATGTCCCTTTGTACATCATCGGGTGTGCGGAGCTCTCGACCAAATGTTAAATAGGCTGGGGTATATTCAGTACTGTCACTTCTTGAGGTGTTCACTGCAAAACGCACGGAGGGTAGTTTATTCTTCCATTGAGTGTGACAGCCTCCTACTAGAATTGATAGTTGGATTTTCAAGTCGCGGTTTTTCCGTTCCACAGGATTAGACTTCGCATGATACATAGGTATTAAGTGCTGATGAAAACCAAGACAATGTGGTACATACTGCATAGTTTCACTAACAAATTGTAGTCCATTGGCGCTGGTAACCCTTCGGGAAACTCCATATCTGAGTATCGCCTCATCAACAAGAGTTTGCGTACAATCTTTGGCAGTAGTATGTACGAGCGGAAATATTTCTATTCATCTGCTGGCAGTGTCTTCGATTATAAAGATCCATTTTTCACCAGTATCGGTTTTAGGAAGTGGTCCAAAGAGATCTATAGATGTTACTTCGAATCGCTTGGCCATTACAGGTGTTTGTAATAAACCAGCAGGTTTAAGATTTCCCACCTTATATTTCTGACATTCAATACAGCTGGACACATGTTCAACAACACTTTTTCTCATTCCTGGCCAATAGTATCTGGAACGTATACGTTGTGTGGTTTTATCAATACCATAATGACCAGGGGCTCGATTTTCGAATATTTTCATATACGAAATCTGATACGATTTCGAATGCTTCCCATTTAATTTACATTGCTGTCAGTCAAATTTCGTGTACGAAATGTACTCGAATGGTTTCGAAAATCGCACCCCAGCTAAGGGGGAATCGTGGTATTCTTCTAGGATTTCAGGAATCATGCTTTTCGGTACCACTTATTGTATTTCTTCTTGGATCTCACTCTCAGGATCATAGCGATACAAAATTCCTTCGGTCATAATGTAACCGCGGTCAGTCCATATCTTAAACTCCACTGATTCAGGATCCGGTGATTCGGAACAAGAATATTTTTTTTTAATACATCTGGAGCATCTAACTGTTTCCTTATAATGTCTTCTTTTTTTCTGGGCAAATCAACAATAACTTCATTTACCTCGGTCTGGGATGTTTCTAGTGGTGGCCGGGATAAGGTATCAGCCACTACATTTACCTTTCCAGGTGTATATTCAATTCTCGTGTTATAAGCCTGTAAAGACCATCGAGCTAATCTGCCACTAGGTGATTTTAAAGACATTAACCACTTCAATGGCTGGTGGTCAGTCAGGATAATGAATTTAGCTTCATCCAGGTAGCCTCTAAAGTTTTCCACAGCCCACACAACTGCTAGAGCTTCTCTTTCTGTAGTGTGATAGTTTATCTCAGCAGGTGTGAGTAGTTGGCTTGCATATTCAACAGGTCTTTCATCGGCCTTCTCCCCTTGGAGTAGAACTGTCCCTAAGGCGTATGAACTAGCATCAGTTCTGAGTATACAAGGCAATACACTATCAGCCTGTCTGAGTATGGGATTTGTAGTCAAAAGTTGTTTCATAAGGTCAAAAGAATCTTGTTCTTTCTTCTCCCATTTCCAAATAGCTTTCTTCTTGGTTAAGGTTTTTGAAACTTCTGCAAATGAAGAATTGAATCGCCGGAACCAAGAGCATGTTTGGACAAAGGACAAAAGCTCTTTCACATTTGGATCGATTGAGGTGAAGCTTGAAAGCTGCAAGTCGGTCGAAAACTCGTAAATCAGAAAGGTGTTCTTGGTAAGTTCTGGATAATACAATCAAATTGTCTATATAGGCTAATATGGTCAAATCTTGGAGTCCGGATTTGAATTGATCAATGAGTCTTTGGAAGGTGGAGGGTGCATTTTTCATTCCAAATGGCGTTCTCGTATAATGGAAAATTCCAAATGGGCAAATAATTGCCGTTTTATCTCGATCAGATTCGCGGACAGAGACTTGATGGTATCCTGATTTTAAGTCAAAAGTGGTCATATACTTGTGTGTAATAGATCATGAATCCTAGGAAGTGGGTATTTATCGGAAACTGTTTTCTCATTTAGGCGTTGATAATTGACACAAAGGCGAATACTACCATCAGGTTTAGGTACTAGAACAACTGGAGCAACATACGGGGATTCGCATTCTTCTATGATTCCATCTTTCAGAAGCTTATCCAATTCTGCCCTCAATATGTTCTTGTTTTGTTCAGACATCCGATAAGGTGGTACAGAAATGTTCTGCATATGTTGTTGGCTCAGTACCGGATGTGAATAATTCAGCATATTGGCGCAGTAAGAATTCAATTTGTTGCTTTTCCGGTTGGCTTAGTTGTACACCTTCATTTTCTCTCAATTGTGATGCATTCAGTTGTACAGAAAACATTGGAGTAGATTCTGCAGTAGTTATTACATAATTAGTCTCATCTTCAAATAAATACGAAAATTGTGGAGTTTCAGCATAATACCATTGTTCCTGATGAGGAATGTCCATCACAATATTAGCAAGTTCAATAAAGGCTAAACCAAGTAAAGTCCTACTATTGATATGTTCTGGAATGGCAACAAGTGATGTTGGAATAATTTTATCATTCAGAATGATTTAAACATTAAAAACTAGAGAAGTTACAGTCCTCTCTATGCCATCTGCATATCATTCCGGACTGACTCCAGCAATCTAGCTGAAAAAGGTGGTAATTGTAAGAATATTATAAGTTTTCAAAGTTCCATTTTTATAGGTATTTTTTTAGCTTCTATTTTTCCGGATTGTTACACCAATTTATTTCATATTTTCATTATGTATCCACTCTACTTTAAATCTCCTGTCTGATATTCTTGAATGACCAAAAAAAGAGTTTTGCCATCAATTGGGTACCTAAATATTTTAACAGTCTCTTAGGTAGTTAAATTTCCCCCAAAAACCACTCACATAATGATAATTACTTTAAAAGCTCCAAGATCTGTTTAACCTTGAACCGCTGCCCGCCGAAAAACGAGGACAGAAAATCAATTTATATCGTGTTATAAATATTTAACGTCCATTAGCTATTAAGAAAAGTGGAAGAGAGAGAAATTGTGATAAGCTTACGAGGGCACTTTGCTAATTGCCACGTGAACCCAAGTAGTCCAGATGATTTGAAAAATTTTACCCTGTATATAGTATAATTTAGCATCAACTTGAAAATTGAAATAGAGTCGCGGGCGCAATTAACATTTGATATAAAAGCAAATGCCAATTTCCCTAATGCATTTTGGATTTTCCATATAGTCTCTCTCGCTCGCGCTCATCAACCAAAGTAATCTGTGATATTGCTTTCCTATATCAAACTTCACACCCATCATAAAGCAGAAATTGATCCTCCGCCTGCCTCCTCCACCTCCACCCGTTCTCAATTAGGAAATTTGGCTTTTACATCCGCTTTTATAGCATCCATCAATTACGCCCGCCCATCAGGACTGAATGGCCGTTTTAAAAAGTTTTTTTTATTAGCCCTATCAGTAATTTTCCTACCTTTGAACGTTCGAGATTTTTATTAAACAATTTAAAGCAGAAGAATTGAAAAAAACCTATGTTTGTAAAATAGTGTGAGGGTGACGTTAAAATATAAAATTGTACAAATTTAAACTAAATACCAGGTTTAGAGAAGGAGAAATAGCGACTTCCCTAATTAACTGGTAAACTTTCATGGCACCCTTGCATGGAGGGCTAATTAATCAGGAGACTTCTCGCGGCGTTTAACCCCTATCCAGGGGCGGATCATTGGATTTTCAGTTTGAAAAATACAT